GTCCAACTTCGACACTAACAGATTTAACAATACCCGGCATAGGTGAAATAAGAACTGATGCTAAATCGATTTTTTTCTTGATAGGCATAATTGGTAAATATTTTGCAGCACGTTCAGGTAATACACGAAGATCGTACTGAATGAAAAAAAGAAATCAAGTCGATAATTCTAAAGTTTTTAAATATTTTCTAAACTTTACTTTAGTTCCAAGATAGATCAAAGTAATATTTCCTATTGCATCGATTTTAAATAACTATAAAGTAATATCAATAACACAAATTATTTTACTTATAAAATTGTTTTGCTAACCTGCATGGTAAATGGTTCACCATTAAAATCAATATTAATAACACGATCACCTAATTTAAATCTATCAGGAATTTTTATTATTTGTTTACCATCAACATCGACCTATGAGAAATATAATCACAATAAAATATTTATTTTACATTTATTTAGAAAAAAAAAACGAACTTCAAATAATTTGACGCCATCTTTTTCAGTTGGTGTAACACGTATATGACGTTTAAATTCTCCAAGTTTAACTTCATATCCATAATCTTTTGGTATTACACCTTTCGCTGGTTGTTTAAATGATCGATCTTGTATTGCATTTTTAACAGCGACGCATGCTGCTAATGCAAGTAAACTTTCACGTTCCGTATCTTTTAATTGTTTGCCTTTAAATCCTTCAGGATAGACTTGTGGTAAATATTTTGTACTGATATCTCCGGTGACAAAACGCTGTTCAGTTATAATATCTCTCAATAATGGAATGTTATTTGTAACACCTAATACATTAATTTAAAACTTTATTTAAAAGAGAACACGAATAATTTTTTTTTTCGCCTACCTCGAATAACATAGGAATCTAATGCTTGAGCCATTGTTGCTAATGCTGCATGTCGATCTTTGCCAAAAGTTGTTAACTATGCATAAAAATTCATATATAAATCAATCATTAAGAGTATCCGTTATGTCTTTTGAGCTACTTCTGATTCTCGACGAGAATAGAACCTACCGGGCTCACATTTTTATCATAGCTAGATTATCGAAGATGATAGGACCCATGCTTGAAGAACTCATTGTAAAAGCAGACTTTCAGAAACCATTGGACTTTCTTACTACTCCGATCTTAGTTCATTCGATCGGTGTCGTAAGCAAGCCCGATTATTTTCTCGAACATGAGTCCCACCATTTTCGATAATTTGGCTAGAGTAAAAATTTGAGACCAACTGGTTGTACTCTCGGAAATAACAGAAAGTAGTACAAAAGAGAGACCACTTTTAATTGTCAAACTTACTTTACAAATTAATGGATCATAATATAAACTAATTTCACTACCTTCAGTAATACCACTATCGCAACGAACCTATTGATGTAAAGCAAAACTCATATGAAAAATTTAAAAAAGAATAAGTTTAAACAAACATTGGGAATATGACTAGGATCTTTATATGAAGTAAGACGACCAATTGATGGAAGACCAAAAGCTTTATATGGATCTTCTGCATAAACACGACATTCAATAGCCCAACCACGAATACCAATATCTTCTTGTTTGAATCGTAATTCATGACCTATAAATTTGATAGTTAAATAATTAAAACGAAAAAAGAAAAATTTTAAACCTTTAGCAACTCGAATCATTTGATGAACAAGATCAACACCGGTAGTAGCTTCTGTAATTGGATGTTCAACCTAAAAATAAAACATAAGTATTATGCAAAATTAACTAAAACCTTTTTTACTTGAAGTCGAGTATTCATTTCAAGAAAATAAAACTTGCGGTTTGAATCAACCATAAATTCGACAGTACCTACAAGAAATTTGTCTTAAACAAAATCTTTTTTGTCATTTTATGACATAATTACCAGCTGAATAATATCCAACAGCATGAGCTAATTGCACAGCTTCTTCACCCATTTTTCGTCGTGTTTCTTTATCAAGAAAAACACTTGGTGCTTCTTCAATTACTTTTTGATTTCGTCTTTGAATTGAGCATTCACGTTCATTTAAATAAACTATATTTCCATGTTTATCTCCAAGAATCTATATGAAAAGTTCAAAGTTTTGCATCGTTAAAAATCGAATATTTTTAGAACAAACTTGAAATTCAATATGACGTGGATTATCAATAAATTTTTCAACAAGCATACGATCATCACCGAAACTTGATGCTGCTTCACTTTTACTTAATCGAAAATTTTCCCGGGCTTCTTTATCATTCCATGCAACACGCATTCCTTTACCACCACCACCAGCTGATGCTTTAATCATAACAGGATAACCTTAAATAATTAAATCAAAAATTAATACATTTGAAGATTAGAAAAAAGTCAAAATCAAATACCAATATCATTACTAACACGAACACATTCTTCTTCATCTTTGACTTCACCGTCATAACCAGGTATCATAGAAACATTTGCTTTTCGAGCAATTACTTTACTATGAATTTTATCACCCATAGCTTGAATTGATTGACTTGATGGGCCGATAAATTCAACATTATGATCAGCCTAAATATATTTAATCAATTATTTATATAAGAAGAAAAACAAAAGCATAATATTTATCTTACGAGTTTTTTCGCAAATTTCGTATTTTCCGAAAGAAAACCATAACCGGGATGAACGGCTTCAGCACCGGTCTTTTTAACAGCTTCTAATATAATATCTTCATTTAAATAACTTAATTTAGCTTGAGCAGGTCCAATACAAACGGCTTCATCAGCCATTTTAACAAATAACTATTGTATCATAATAATAATAAATTTATTAGAAAACAGAATTATCTTATCTTAAAATACTTACTGAAGTTGAGTCAACATCACTATGAACAGCTACTGTTTTGATACCCATTGCTTTACATGTTCGAATAACACGACAAGCAATTTCACCCCGATTGGCAATCAAGATTTTTGAAAATTTCTATAAAATAAAATTTCTTTTCAGCTTTTCTGTATTTCATCAAAACAATATTCAATATGAATTCTAAAACATAGATTTTATTGATGAATTTTTCTTCTAATGAACATATACTCTTATGTTCCTGTGTTAATCTCTAATCGAATATTTCTATGTAAGCCTTGAGTACTTATGTGCAGTCTTTCAAACAATATTTTATTGAATATTATCTTCTCTTACAATAATATGTGGATAAATTTTCGCCATGAGTCAACATGATCTTTCTTTAATAAAGTACTTAACAATTCGACATAAAACATAGCGTGACAGAAACCTAAAAGTATTCACATCTTATATTCGGCACTCATAAGGATTCACATGTTGCATGCTCAGCCAAACTATGTACTGAGTAACCTGAATGGGATAGACAAAGCATATGAAAATATCGCCTGCAGAATAAAAAAATAGGAGCCAAGATTATATATTGAACTATTATTGAATTACTTAGTAATCGAATTTCACATCAAGAAGATGACGATGAACCTACAGACTCATGATCCACTAAAAGTATATGAAAAATATTTAAAAAAAAACAATACGAAGAAAACATGTTTCAAGCTTGATAACAACTGAAAACTAGCAGAACAAACAACAAAAAAAACTTGTAATTATTGATAAAATTTCTAACAGGCTTAACGACTTAAGAGTAAAACTAATGAGACTGAAAATTTTATTATCAAAACAACACCTAAAATAAGAAGACGTATGTTTGAAGAAAATATTTCAAAGAGAGTTTTCCTAAAGCTGTTTCCTAGTATATTACAACTCTTCCTCTAATTTTATTCGATCAAGCTGAAATTTTTACTAAAGAAATTTGGAACTGTTCCTCAAAGTTACAATTAGTCGCTTTCATTTTTAATGTTGGTGTCTGAATTTATAGAATTCTAAAAACCAAATCCTTTATTTTAGCTTCGAACTTTGACATATTTTTCTCATTATAAAATACGAAGTGAGATTGTGCTGAAAAAATTCAAAACTATTTGGGAGATATACCCATGAAAAAATTTTTCGAAGAAACACGTAGTTGTTTCTATTTTTATTACGATTTTTATAAGAAAACTTTTTCCGTAAGTAGACTCAAGTGTTTATAGAAAACATTCTCAGTTCAAGTGAACAAAATTGAATGGAGGTGATAATGCGATAGAATATGGTACTATAAGAATTTAAGATTTTCCAGTAAAACTCTCCATGAAATTTTATCCTTGAATATGTATCTGCTTATTTCAAGTGCTTTATCTTTGTTTAATTAAAAATGGTTAGCAACAAATACATGATAATTAAATGAAATCAATATAAGAGTATTTTTCGTTTTTTTTTTTAATAAAATACTTTGTTGATCCATTACGAAAATTGAATCCTTATATCTGTATGTATATATTATTATTATTACAAGAGAAGAGATTGTCCAATAATATGCCATTTACAAGACTCGACACGACTACTCAAAGCTTATATAAAAACATTTGGTTAGAAGTTATTTTGTGTCTATATATATATAAACTAATTTCTTTCCCTTCAACACTTATGAAACACTGTGTATTAATTAATCAAATGGAAATAAATAGTTCCCAAATATTACGAAAAATTCTACATGATAATTGTAATTTAAAAAATTTTTGTTTATGTAAAAAGATTCTTACAGATTCAGTTGGATCAATTCGATCAAGAAAATAATGTCCACCTTCTCCATAAGTAAAAAGTGTTTTAGGATCTCGCAAAGTAGTAGCTTTTGTAGATTGAAGTCGTTTAAGTAATAGAAGACGACTTGCTGGTGTTGAGCGAAGACCGGTAGTCCAGAAGAAATGCATATCTAAAACATAACCATTCTTTTTTTTTTCTGCGACTGATAAAATTAATTGAAAAAATAAATCTGACTGATAATCATAAAGAGAAAAAAAGAGGACATGGAAGCAAAAGTTAATTATAAAAAAATGCTAGATGCACAAACATAAACAAAAAACAAGAAGATGACGTTGCGTATTTGTTGCAAATGATTAACAGGAGAAAAGAGAAAACAAAAAAAAAAAACAATTATTTGCCATTATTTTGTGTAAAAATTCTAAAAAAAAACAAAGAAAAAAAGTTTAAATAGAATGAGATAAAGTTTTTCTAAAGGAAATATTTACTGTCGTAATTCATCAAACGAATCAGTATAAATTTTTTGAGCTAGATTATTCACAATAAAATCAACTGTTTCTCGTCTAGTATTATTATTAGTTATGGTACGAAATGCTGATGACGACCGATGTCGTATTTGTTGAAATAAACTTGTTTGAGATTCATTATTTTCATTATTTATTAAACGTATTGCTGTTGTTGTAGGTCGTTTTTTACTTTTTCTTGAATGTTTTTCATCATCAGTTAAAAGAGATTTTGAATATACTTCATTAATAGTTATAGTTGATAAAGCATCACTTATGACATTTTCGGTAAAACGATTTGATAAACGTTCAATAAGATTTTCATTCGTAGACGATATATCTTCAATTGATTGTTTAATAGTTGAATGAATAAATTGATCAACATAAGAATTTATTAGTTGACAACGTTTGACAGGAGCATAAGATGGTGAACAATCAAACAGAAGACAAGATGTATCATCTTCAAAGATTGATGTACTATTATTTGTTATATTTTGATAATCAATCTAGAGAGAAAAACAAAATGATTTAAAGTGAAAGATATAAAGGAAAGTATTCAACAAACTTGAAGAAAAGCTGCTCGTATGGAATGTTCAATTAATTCATTGACAAAGTTTTGAATACTTATTAAATTATGTCGTTGTTTATCGATTTTAGTTAACCATTGTTGATTCAAACTGAATGAATATTGAACATCAAATGTTCGATTTGAAGAGCTGGAATTAACATTTTGAGAAGATCTAGATTTAGTTGGATTTGTTTGTTGATATGATAATAAACGTGACTGATATCGAACAAGATCATTTTTTGTTGCTGGTAATGAACAACGTGGAATTGTATGATGAAATGAAACTTTTCCGTCACGTCTATTATTTCGACTTGATGATCGACATCGTATTGAAACATTTGGTTGAAGAGAACGATTTACGGGTGAAATTGATAAATTTTGAAACGATGAGGATGAAGATGAAGAAGATGATGTTGCTGTCGTAAGAGAAATAAATGGAGATGAAAGAATATGTGTTAAAGAATTTAATGCATTTGATATTGCTTTATCAACTTGAGTATTTGCTAAATTTAACAATTCTTCAGGATATAAGTTATTAAATGAATTATCACCATTTTCGAGCTGTTCCATCTAGAAAAAAAATTGACTGTCAAATCTTTTTTTTTCTTCAGCAAAACAAAACTATCATTAGATTTTTTAATAATTAGTTTAATGGAAGATTGTTAAAGATGTTATAAATAAGTTCATCGATGATTGTTTTTCAAGATCTTATCACCATTTATGTTCTATATCAATAAAATTAAAAAAATCAACATAGAAAATAGTTCGGTTACTGACTAAAAAGCCAATACTATTTAAGACAAAAAGAGATAAAAAAGCAATTTAGTCTTTGCAAAAGGTTAGTCTTGCATTTTCTTTTGATCACTTCATACGAAAATTTATTCGTTGAATTGTTCTTATTAAAGTTTAGATCGTTTCTTACAATGAGTTTCTTAAAAGCCATATATTTTAGAAATATAGACAAAGGATGACTACTTTTCTCAAAAAAAACCGTTATTTTAACTTCTGATTTCAATTATGATTTAACTGTAGTATAAAGCTAATATGTTTTGATTAAATTTACCATGTAGATACTCATTCTCATCTTACGAAACACGTTGAACAATTTATTTATCTCGAGTATTTATATTGAAATGTATCTTTATTATGATATTGATTTTGCCTTCTTGAAGATTAAAATCTTTTCCTTTTTAGTAAACAGAGAAGTCTTATTTCAAAATCTATATGAATTATTTTTCTTCTAAAAATATATACAATTTTCTTGTTTATATTTACTATTAGACCCACTTTTAAAAGAAAACTAAATTTCTAACAACCAATATCTGATGTAATAGCCATGAATAAATTATTAATAATTGTTAAAAGCTTTGTTTCTTTTTGAAAAAGAGTACTTAATGCATCAGATAAATTTCGTTTTGTTTCATAATGTTCAACGAATGCATAAAAAAATGATCCACATAAAAAATGATGTGGAAATATTTCATAACTAAATGGTCGATTGAGAAATTCATTAACATGTGTACTATACATAAATATTGTTTGTAGACAATTAAATTCATGTATAATACTACAATCAAATTTTTTAAAATCATATACTTTTTTTGACATTTCTTTTAATTTTAAAGTAATTGTACGGCGTATAACTGGATCAATTTGTATATGATTTCGATTATCATTTATTGATAATGTTAATGGTTCAATATCTTCTAATTGAAAAGTATCAGTATCAATTAAATAAATAGATTTTATTAAAGAAATAATTATAGCATAAAGATAAACAGGTGTAAGATGACGAATGTTATACCAATATTGGATACACATTAACCAAAAATGATAATCCGTATGAATATGATTATATTGTTCTCGTTGTATAGATGACATCTTTAAACATTTCGAAAAAAAATCTTGACGTTCAATAAGTGATAAAGAATTCAAATGATTTAAATCAATAATATCATCATAATCAGTGAGATCATATTTACATCGTTTAAGTTGTTTAAGAACACGATGATAAAGAATAATATTTCGATTATTTTCATCTTCATTATCCCATTTAAGTAAAATAGCTAGACATGGTAAAACAATTGGTATTGCATTAACATATATAGATGGTTCTTGTTCAAGTTCAACATGTGCAGAACAAACAAAACTACGATGAATAAGAATTTCAATAAATGTTATTGATAAATGAAGATCAGTTAAACTATCAAGTAAAAACGTTGGAATTGGACGATTATTTTTGCTTTTTATTTCTGATAGATCATTTTCAATATGAATACGAATTTGTTCGTCATTCTAAAAAGAAAATTTATTTTATTTTTTCAATTATTTGATTTCTTTTAGCTTGTATTACGATGTCAAGTTTATCAAGATATTCTCGAGCTAATTGAACAAAATGAGCATTTTTATGAAGATTTACATTCTTCGATGAACCAAAACGATAAATAAGTGTATCCGATGGATTTAAATAAGATTGAAGTGCTAATCGAAGTTGCATTTCAATTTTATTTCTTGATGTTTTTGCAATAGGTTCAAGTAATTTTTTTAATGCAATATCAACATCATCATATTGTCTCATCCATTGCAGAGCATACCAATGTTTTGTTCTATTATTTTTACTAATTTTATTTTTATCTAATTTTTCTACAGTCGTAGAAATATGATTGAATATTGGATCAACTGTATTTCCATTAATATAATCATTTCCACATAAACAAAAAGCAAGTGAAAGAGTCGAATGATTTAAACCAACAAATTTTTTAAGTAATGAATCTATTGTAAATAATTGAGCAGATAAATAATAATATGAATTTTTTTCAATTGGATTTATATCAACATAATCAAATGGTATATAACCTTTGAATAGATTATAACAATAATAATCACTATCACGTGCTATTAAATAACAATCAAGATGATTTGCTAATGAAACACATTCATCATCACCTTCACCTAATGCTGATATATAGGAAATGTTCATTTCATCAAGTACATTAATAAATGTTTGTCGTAATAATAATGGACTCAAATCAATATTAACACTAGTTTGAGTTGAATAATCAACACGTCTTTGTGATCGTTCAAGTGTTGTAGATAATTTTCGATCATCTAATCGAGCACCATCGAATACAACAATAACACTGTTAAAAATAAAGTAACGTTAGAAAAAAAAAAAAACATGAAATTTTTATGAAAATTTAAATACATACTTGATTTGACAAATACGAAAAGATTCGAATAATTGTTTACAATAACGATAAAATTTATCATATTCACCACCGAATAAACAAGTCAAATGACATTCTTTATACATTTGATGGTAAATTGAATTACCATCAAATAAAACATTACAATTGTGTAATTCAATTTCATGTAGTAAACTTAATTTTTGTTCAATAAATGTTTGTAAACCTCGAATACCCATCTTCAGATAAAACAAATATATATATATGTATATGTATATATGTATATTAAATACGCAAATATTAATTATAATTATTTGTGTATCAAAACAAAAACCAGAAAAAAAAATTTCAATAATGAATGACTGATCAAAAAAAAGAGAAAAAAATAAGCATATTTTCAAAGTTATTGGTTAAAACATTTCAGTGGTCGCGACATAAGAATGTACGCAGTAATATAGTGCACAGAGTTCAGAAGGAAACAGAACGCACAAAAAGACAAAGAAACGGTTCGTTAGGAACAAGAACAAGAAAAAATCATGTTATTTGGCTGAAGGCATCTCGCATCGCACATACATTGCACAAAAAATGAGGAAAAAAAAGCACGAACACAGGACGAATTCGGACTGAAAGCAAACGTTCACGCATAAAGTCCAAAGAACAATAAAAATAAAAATAAACTTGACATCAATCTGACTGATACATGTCTTTATTCGAAGATGATAATGCACGAGATTTGTCATTTGAAGATTATTGTACTAACAAAAACAAACAAACAAAAAAAAACAAGAACATATTTCTACCAAGCATCTGTATATCGTATATCGCATTCTTGTAAAGCCGGTAATTTTTCCTAAAAAATAATTTATCAATTTTTTTAATCAAAGAAAAAACAAAAATTTTTATATTTTCAAATTAATACTTTTAAAGCTTCAAATGTTAATGGAGATAAATGTGTTGAATTTAAATTAAGTTTTCTTAACATTTTCATGCCTAAATATTCAAATAAAAAACATACAATAAAAAGAATAGAAACAAATATCATAATCTTACATGCTAAGTAAGCAAGACCTTTATCAGTTACTGGTGTTTCACATAAATTAAGTACTTGTAATCGATTTAAATGTTCGGATATTAATTCTAAACCAGCATCACCAAACTAAAATTAAAAGAAAAAAAAATAAAATAAAATTTAATGAAAACTTTCATTTTATCTAACGAACTTGTGTTGACCATAAATTTAAATATCTTAAAGCTGGTAATTTAATTAAATGTTCAGCACAAGCACTTGTAACATTTGTAAATGCTAAACTTAAACATTCAAGATTACCAAATGAACCACTTGATAATAATTTCGCTAAATCATTATCAGTTGAACGTGATGGTAATGTTAATTTTCTTGGTCCACCTTTTTGTTGTAATTCTCTTAATGCTATTTGTCTTTCACATACTTTAGCATACATTTTTAAACCAGTTGGTGTTGATTGTAATGTTGATATTAATTGTAATTTATTATCGCGATTTTCAACTGCATCTAAATCAAGCATGGCACATAGAGTCTAAAAACAAAATAAAAATGAATTTTATTTTTTAAATTTGACAAAAAAAAAAATTTTTTATTTTTACTTCTAATGAACTTTGACTTTCACGTAATGCAAGTAACATTAAAGCTGGTAATAATTTATTAATACTTAATAGGAAACGTTTTTTTCGACAACAACATGATATTAATTTATTGAGCTAAAAAAAGGAAATGAAAAATCTTTGTGTTTACTTCTATTTAAAAAAATCTTTTTTTTTTATTCTGATTACCATCAGTGAAAACATTTCGCCATCATCATCACAAGCAATACCACCCAAACAAAACATCTCAAACCATCCTTCTTTACCTTCACGAATACCTAATACTGTTTGATGAACTTCACATCGTGTATCTTCAACAAAATTCTTAACCACATTTTTGAATATTCTATTTTAAAAAAATTATATTAAAAAGAAAAAACAATTTATTTTGCCAAAGAAAAATGAATTACTCAATAAAACGATCGTGTGTTAGTGCTTCATCAGGAAAAGGGACGGATTGTAGAAGCAAGCCAAGATGAGGTCGCCAGTCATCAAATGTTGACCTAAATTGAAAGATAAATATAATATCATCATATCTACACTCTTTACAACACTACTGTATTACCTATATCATTTACAAAAAGCAAATAACTGAACGAAAAATCTATGTTATCGACCTACACACTAAAATACTTTCCAGGATGTACTTCATATACGACGAATAGTAAATATATTCTGTACTTTGCCCCTTTATAGACCTTACTATAATTGACAACGTCTTGTTTAGAAGGAAATAACAAAATAATTGATTGGATGTTATTATTAAATAAACAACCAATGTAAAACAAGTAGATTTTTTGAAAAATGAATAAGGATTTAATTTAATTGAAAAATAAATTAAATCCTTATTCATTGTGGATTAAAAGCAATTATTATAGTTAGTAGGTTTTAATTGGTTAGAGGGAGTCAGAAAATGAATTAAATAGAAATTGCATGTGAATCATTATGTATGATAGTGAAAAAGAATTGCACTACGAGTACTTTTTATAGTTAACAGTAGAAGTATGTAATTCTATACGAACACGAGCAAATAAAAGAATAGCGTGTTTTTAAATCTATGAAAAGTTTCTTTATCAATTTTGTTTGATAATATTTAATTGAAGTGTGTTTCTATGTAACAGTCATATCTCGACCGATAGCAATTCTGTGATTTATTAGTGTAATTCGATTCCTTTTGAAAAAAAAAATTTGTAGCTTCCGATGTGATTCAAACTAGAAAAAGACTGTCGATAGACCGCTCGATATAGCGTGTGTAATACCGGCGGTAATAGCAAAAGCCTGACAATCAACCCACGTTTATTTGATCCATAGCCAATAGGCTATGCTATTCTATTACAGTATATACATAGTTGTTTCCTGACAGACAATCTACTGCTGTTACTGTGGACGAATATACAATATAGATTATAAAAACTAAAATCTAAACTGTTTAACCTTTTCATGACGATGGAATCCACCAGTGAATCCTACTATAGGGTGGTCCAACAGCTCATTCATCATAAAAAAAATTGAATATCTGGGCCATAATTTGACTAAAGGGATTGATTTATTCCCTACCGCTAGAGGAATGTCTACAGCTCATATTAATAAGAGAAACATCGATAAACGTTATGTTGAAGTACTACACTTGCTACAAATAAAGAAATGAAACCTTTCACAAATTATAAGAAAGCAACATTCATATTGCCACGAACGGATTAATGAAGAGACTACGCATCCATTTAATACTTACATGGTTTGCAGCATTTTCGTATAACATACTAATTGACTTTCAGTTTCTTCTTCATATGCTCGACAACTTTCTTTATCTTCAAAGCGGAAACTATTTAATATAAAAGAAAATAAGATATACACATATATATATGTATATTATATCAAGTAGAAATAATTGAAATATTAACTTTTTTCGATCTTCAAAAAAATTATAAATTGCAGCAAGACAAACAGAAACAAAATTTGAGAGAACACGTGGAAATGGACAGATCATCGTTGGACCATGTATTCTAAAATAAATAAAAATAATATTTTTCTTTTTTTATATACAAATAAAATATATATGTTATTACCGTTTAATAAAATCTTGTACAACACGTAAACCATCATTTTGTGAATTAAGTGCAAGAAGATATTCTTGAACAAATATTCTCATTCGTGGATATTTACCGAAATCCTGTAAAAATAATTATGAATTTCTATTTTAAATTCTAATTATGAAATTTTTACTGTATTATGTTTTAAAATTCTTTGAACAACTGGTGTAAACATTTCAATAACAATTTGCGAACGTGGGCTATCACGACAATGCTAAATTAAAGACAAAAAAAAGCCCTACTTTTTAAAACTAAAAAACGATTATATTTAATTCTTACTCGACTGAAAAAATCACATATTTCTGGTGATGGATAATTCTTTTCAAGTAATGGTGCTAGTGCTACAATCACATTCTCGTGGACAAATCGTGGTAAGTTAAATTCTTGCTATTAAAAGAAAAAAGACTTTAATTAAAGAAAAAAACAGCAAGGAACATTTCATTTCTTTTACTTGTTGCAAAATTTCAGAAATAATTTCCAGGGGAAAATGATGAACTTCAACGTCTTCAATTGGTGTGGTCATTGCAAAATCAATCATATTCTAATTATAGAAAACATACCCACATATATTTAATTAAAAAATGCATAGTAAAAAGTATTACCATCATTTCTTTTAAGAGTACTTCCGGACGATTAGCTGAGCGTAAAATACGTTCAAATTTTAATTTATTTCGCTATTGAAATATGAGATAATATGAAAAAATTCAAAAAAAGAATATAAAGAATAACATACTTTCCATTGTATTGAATAAAACCACTGGTCTCTTAAATGAAGTGTATTAACCTAAAACAAGAAAATATTCGATAATCATTTAAATTCTTGTTTCAACAATTAAATTCATTTGTTTACTTGAAAAAAATAAATACAATCGTTTGTAACGATTCTTATACAAAATCGACAATCCGAATCGATTACTTTCGATTTTGACCACACAGATATATCTTCAATTGCTGAATAGGCTATTGGTCTGTCCATGTAACTTTCATTCTATATAATAAGAAAATAAAAATCTTCATTAAATATATATATGAAATAGTATAAAAACGAACTATTGATGAAGTTATTTCACTATGATCAAGATTAATATGATGATCTTCCCAACGACGAAGAAAACGTGAAAAACGTATTTTTTCTATGATATTTTTTGCATGAGGTACACGACAAATTTGAACAACACCATCAGTTAATAGTTTAAAACGCTGTTGAATACGACGACCATTAACAAGCATACAAAGCGTATTAGCTGTGTTTGTACTTGCAGTAGCTGCGGCACAATTATTTGATGGTGATGTTAAACTTATATTATCGCTGTGTCCTAATGAATAATAACGATCACGATGGTCTCCACTAGATAAAGAAACTGAACTAATTGCATTACTCTTGGATGAAGATCGTAATTGATTTTCCATTTTACTATAAATTCTAATTAAATAGATTTAATTTTATGATTCATTAATTTTTTGTAATTGATTACCTGATAATGATGCTTAGCTAGATATCAGAGATATTTTGATTGTGCGCTATTGCATTCTATGATGAATTCATCTAAAAAAAAAAAAGAAAAGAAAAAAACTGACATTTACCTATCAATACGTTAGAATGTAATTTATTTTAATCTTATCAAACTATTCAATAGTCTATGTCATGGACTTGACATAGTTTCTTACGTAGGTAGATATGGAGGAGTCAAACGTGTCTTTGATATATTCTATGATGTTTTTTTCTTTAGTTATACATCTGATTGAATAGCTCTTTTATGTTTAAAACTTAATGACCGATTCAAATTTTTGACAAATTCCTTATTTTCTTGTTAAATTCTTTTAAAGGGATGATAAAAACAAAGGTTTATTAAAGAAAATTAAACACAACGACATTATCAACATAGAATGACGGTTGTCTAATACCTTAGCTTTTCGAAATGAAAAATCCATTCATATCGTACTATAATAGTTCGTTGTCAAAAGAATCATCCTTATATAGAAAGCAAATGGATTTAAGTAGACAGCTCTTCATTATTAATAGACAATGTTCTCTTACATTCTCTATATACATTGTTAAGCTCAAAATATAATAAAAAGAAACCTGAGAAAATTTCCTACAATGACGCAAATAAAAAAATTGACATGAAAGAGGGTTGCATTCCATGACTTTTATGATAATAAGAGGGAAAGAGTGATGAAAGAAGACGAAGAAAAAAAAGAAAAAAACGATGTCATGGAGGGCGTCACAGTCTACTTATTGAAATATATAAGCAACAGTAATACTAGTTTTGGAAGAGAAAAAGATAGAAAAATATGTAGGCACAACAGCAGGAGGAAAGGAAAAAACAAGGAGAATCGTCAACGATGATGACGACTATGCGACAAAGCCCCGGGTTTATGTATATTCCTCATATAATACTTGATGTAATACGGCGGCAAAGAATAGACGAAGAAAAACTCACTACTGACGAACGCATGAGAAAAAGAAACGAGAAAAAAAAGAAGTAGAAAGCGAGTTGCTTTTGTCTGCGACATCATCAATGAAATACTGAGAAAAATCTTCTGTCATTGTTGAATTCTGTTATTGTGCGCTTTACGTTACCTTTTTTTTTTTATTTATCTTCCTGTAAATCTGTCAAGGGGGGTGTTTTTCCTGAAATGCATTTGCTTACCATTATTATATCCTCATTAGGGTTTTTTTTCTTAATGATAAAGTACGTTACTTGAGACATGCATATACAACATGTTTTTGAATTCATGAAGTTTTATGAGATTTTTATTATAGAGAAAAAAATTGTTGTTCATCATGCATGAGTATGCATAAAGATATTTTTGATAACAAACATCACTTAGCATTTTTCTATCAACTTCTTTTTTGCAACATTGCTTTTTACGCATCTGGGTCTTGTCAATTTATAATAGAATAGAATTACGTTTGTCTAATTTTGATGCTATTTTTCTTTTTTTGAAAGAAAAGAAATAAGAATTTCATTACATTAATCGTATTGCTTTCTATGACGAACAAGTTCAATCTTGTCATATCTGTTATTTAATACTATCTATCATCATTTTCATATATCTGCATAAAAGTTATTTTTAAAATAATCTGAAATAAACAAAACAAGAGACTTATTGAGACAAAAACAAAAAGAAAATTTGCTCGTTGATATATAATTCGTTTTGTGTATAAGATAAATTTTTTCTTTTAACAATATACAACAAAATGAAATAAAAATCAGTGTATTAACAAATATATACATATAATAAAAAAATTAATGAACATATTGTATCCTCTGATATTATGTCACAAACATATGTTCAGTCGATGACAAGATCAAATCGAACTGACATCTGACAAAGACAAGGAATAATAATATTGGCGACTAATGAGAGCACCATGCTTCATTAATATTCATCTGGATCAACATTACTTGTTGCTGAATAAACATGTTTTCTTCCTAAATTATTATTATTATTTTTATTTTTTATAATAAACAAATTAAAATATGATATTACTTTTCATTTTATGCCATATATAAAGTATGCATATAATTAATACCATTAGTAATAATAATCCACTTGTAGCTACTAAAATTATAACTACGACTGTTTGTTCTACACTTAATGATGTTTCAGTTGTTGACGAAGAAAGTATTTGTGAGACTAGAGGAGAAAAATCAAAGTTTATTTTATTTTATTCTTTACTTAATATTATTTTTCATACCAGCTATTGTTGTTATTGAAGCATCATTTAAACAATCATTATCACAACTTATTTTTTCAATTGAATCAGGAATTTTTAAATGATTTGAAGCAATGTCTTTATTAAGTTCTTCTTGAGAACAGCTGTCATAATTTCGACAAGTCTTTATGTAATATAAATATCAATGAGGTTTCATAATTTATTCTATTAAATACTTACACCATTGCAACGACGAATAATAAATTCAGCTCGATTAATAGCTAGATCATTTACAGTAAATAGTATCATATGACCAGTATTTAAAATAATATCTACTCTAGAATCAATACATCTATAGAAATCAACATATATGAATTTTTTAGTTTTTTATTTCAAATTTTGATATACTTTTGTGAGAACCAGTAGTTAAATGAATATCGAATTTCACCATGAGCGCGTTTAGCCCAGAGAATTTCGAATGATTCATTATATCCTAAATAAAATAATAATAATAATAATAAAATAGAAACTATTTTTCTTTTACCTAATCCGGTAGCCGTTATGTTAAAATTATATGTAATAAATCCGTGCAAATCTGACTGAGTTACTCTAATCAATGCTACAATAGGTTTATACTAAAAATAAAAAGTATATATATATATATATTCTGTGTGGGAAATAAATTTCTTAAACTTACATCTACTTGACAATAGATACAAGCCTTTTCATCATATTGTAACGATTTCTAAAAAGTAATTATATCGAATTAGTTTTAATATGACAAGAAAAGTTAATATCGTATTTACTAATGGAACTTTTAAATAATTTGAACCAATACGACTAATACCACATTGATTAATATAAGCTTTTTGTGTGCCATTTTGTCTACAAATTGATGTTTGATTAGCAAATTTCCAATTTAATGTATTACTCTGTATGTATGTAAATATTCATCATAGAAAATAACATCTGTTTTGAATACTCACATTTGTTTCGTTGAATACAAAGTAACTCTTGTTACATTTAATATCAATATCTGAACCAAATGACAATATTTCAATAAATGGACAATAATTTTTATCGTTTTTTGATAAAAAATAATTTTTTCCTAAAAGCAAGATAATACTATTAAATAAGCTAACCCTTTTTTTTTACTATGCTTTCTTTTGGGATTAATTCTCGATTACCTTCGCATTCGGTCATAAAAGGATTAATAAAAATGAATATTAGCTGTAAAGTAATGATTATCAATAAAGAAGAGCAGGTAAACATTGGGTATCGGCATCAGCTGATGATTATTGCCTAAATAGAAAACAAAAAAAAAAAGAAACTTTGTTTTTTGCTATGTCTGTATATGATTCTCACGATTTACCATTGCACAATCAATACAAGAAACAGAATAATAAAAATAGTGAACGATTTCGTTGTTACAAATCACTACTAATCACTCTGCTTAATCTCATAAATGATGAATGTATCTGATAGTTATATATTCTACGAAATGAATCAATGGCTAAAAACCCGTTTACTCATATGAAAAAAAAGCCCTTCACACCTAATTTATTACCTAATAACAACTATCAAAAAACAAAATATTGGTTACCAACGTAATGAGGAAAATTATTCAAACATTTGCCAAAATTATTATCACATTGAAAGAATTCTTTCAATTAAAATGAGACATCTATTTTCTTTGTTTTCGCTCTCTCTATCGAAACAATTCGAATATATTTTTTTTGAAAAGTTCAAAGATAAATCTGTTCTATGGTCTCATTTTATTGGTAATATCTCAAAAAATTTTGTTCTTTAGCATAACACTAATATAATTATGTGTTTTTTGTTGTTGGATTTTTTGTCTTTATATCCTTTTTTTTTTCTCTTTTTTCTCTTTTCTCTCAACTGCCATTGACAAATATTTTTATTTAATGCGAACAACAAAAAAAAAGAAAAGAAAAATAAAAAAAAAGAACAAACTTGTAATAAAACTATTTTATATAAAAAACACAAATGTGTCTTTCGGTTACATACTTACTTTATATCAACTATTTATATGCAACATTTCTTCTTCGAATATATTACATATGCCTATTTTCTACTACAGAATGAATAATTATTAAGTAATGAAGCCAATTCGAATGTTTAAGGATAGTTTTTGGTAACAGATAGTCATTATAAAGCAAAAGAATCTGATCTTAAAACAAAGAAAAATTATATAATTAAATACAAACCGATATGATACTTGAATAAAAAATCTTTCTCTAAATGATAAGATTTCTTTAAATAAATATAAATGTCCTTATCTGTTTTCATTCAATATAATACTCAAGCATAAGTGATAAATTATTCAGAAAAATCATATGATAAGCAAAAAAATTCTACATAGTTTGTTAAAATAATATATGTTAGTATTACAACTTGAAGTGTATTGAATGAAATGTTCTACTTCTTGATGTATTAGAGTTTTATTTGTCTATTGACAAGTTTACCGACATATTTATATAGAAAGATGGAAATCAAACTTATTACAAATCTCGTATTTCTCACGGAACAAATACATAGAATATTTCACAGCTATTTTAAATGATTTCAATGCATCAAATTTATTTAAAAAAAAGTCATAGATATTCTGAGAAGATTTTTCTTAATTAAGAAAAAATACTTATAAAGCTCTCATAAGACTATAAATTAGTCTTATGGTAATGGTCTGTTCAGTTCTATACTTAAAGTCTTTATTAAACCCGTCATTTACATGAGTATGTGCTTTTTCCTCAATAACTTGAAAGCAAAATTTCTAATTTTATATTAATCAAAACAAAAGACAAGTCTTCAATCATTGTACTATGAAAAATGTAATTATATTATATAAAATAATGTTCTCTTATAATTAAATTTGAAAGGATTTCTTATATTAAATTATAAATTTATTCTTGTCGGAGCAGCATTTAAGACTAATGCATACTTTTCATTAATCATCAATGTATAACTCCTGATTTACTCTGCACAGAATCCTATACCGTCGTTTTATATAAAAGAAAACTAAGGTTCAAACTATCTGTGCCCATCGAATAGAAACATATATCAAGGATTAATACACTTTTCTGATCCATCATTAAATATCTTATGTTCCGCAGTTTATTTAAAGTATCTTCATAACAAAAAAAAAATTGCAAATATTTATTAATCAAAATCAATAAATAATAATTTCCATGTGTATATTTGTTAAATAATAAATTTTGTTTTTCAATTTATTACTTTTTTTAAATAGTGACATCTGTTCTCTATTTCTTTTTCTTTCGGTGCACACAGCCCGTTGGTGGTGTAGAACGCAAAGACTACTTGCGCATTGCTTTTACTGTTTGGTGTGTTTATAGATATATATTAAATTTTGATTCTATAGATAATCATCTATTTTCAATCCATCCATTATAAAAAAAAATGTCATCATTAACACGTTTAACTATATCATCACCATCGGCTTTATGCCGCCTTGGTCAATTATTAGCTAACCGACAAATTGTATTTCAACAACAATTGCCAGTATTAGGTATGGCTAGTTCATTAATGGTTCCATCTCAACGTACAATTGCTACATCGGCTATACGTCGTGATATTGATTCAGCTGCTAAATATATTGGAGCTGGTGCAGCTACTGTTGGTGTAGCTGGTGCTGGTGCAGGTAGAATTTTCTTTTTTTTTGTTTTTTTAAAATAAGTAAAATTAGCAAATCAACCATCTATTTGATTTTGTTTAGGTATTGGAACAGTATTTGGTTCATTAGTAGTAGCTTATGCACGTAATCCAAGTTTAAAACAACAACTTTTTTCATATGCTATTCTTGGATTTGCTCTTTCTGAAGCTATGGGGCTCTTTTGCCTGATGATGGCTTTTATGTAAGTATATTTATCGATGTTTTTCTCTGTTAGTTTATTCATTTATTTTTTTTTTCTTTTTATTTATTTTAGGCTGCTGTTTGCTTTCTAAAACTACTGAATAAAATGAAAAGCAAAACACGTGAATTCTAACATTTTGATAAACTATGCGCATTCAATGTTTGGTTTTTCATTTGTGTAATGCGTATTTGGTTATTGTCTCTAGCGTAATTTTTCTCATTCGCGTGTGATTTATTTAGTTACTAGTTCTATTATCTCTTTTTCCTATCCGCACTCTTTCGCTCCGGTTTGTCGGTCTGTAATTTCAACATCAACATTTTTTTTTTGTAGACAGTCTTTTTTTTTCTTTTTTTTTGGATTGAAAACAAACGGACAGACTTATAAATTGTCTCTTAATGAATCGATTGCAAACTATTACAATATAATCAAGCACTTAGAAAAAAAAATACGTATTGAACAAAGAATTTATTTTATTTATTATCTTTGTTTAAGATATCGAAAAGTTGGAAAAGAAGTTGGAGATAGGACCAAAAATAAAAGAAGTATCTCTTTTCTCGATTGAATATGAAAACAAAGGTTTTTGTTCAATGATGATTATAGCACTTGAGGACTTCTATAATGTATATTATTCAATTTTGATCTCTTTTTTTGTTTAAGAAAGGTAAGTCCGATGTTTGTCGTTTCAAGAAAATTGCCATGTTTTCGCCCGACATTCATTCGTACGGTGACTACGGATATTCTTCGAATTGGATCCGTCACGCGTTCAGTAACACCACCGATTGATAATAATCAATCACTTATTCCAATATTTTACTATGAAAAAAATCTTTTTCCACCATCATTTATTCGTCATCTTGAATGGTTAATGAAGAAAGATAAACTTGGACAAGATGCTCTATTTGTTGGTCCACCTGGTCCAACTCGTCGTCAACTTATTCTTGCTTATCTTGAATTAACTCGTAAACCATATCAATATTTACAATTAACTCGTGATACAACTGATTCTGATATAAAACAACGACGAGAAATTCAAAATAAAACAGCATTATTTATAAATCAAGCAGCTGTTAATGCTGCCATACATGGTCATACACTTGTTTTAGATGGTTTAGAAAAAACTGAACGAAATGTTTTACCTATATTAAATAATTTACTTGAAAATCGTGAAATGAATTTAGATAATGGACAATTTTTAGTATCAACACAACGTTTTGATGAATTATTAAAATCTTATACGAAAGAACAACTTGATCAATTAAATTTTATTCGTGTTCATGAAGATTTTCGTGTTATTGCTTTAACATTACCACCATTACCAGATTATAAAGGACATAGTCTTGATCCACCATTACGATCTCGATTTCAAGTGAATCGATATTCTATTCTTTGTTTTTTATATTATGATCAATTTCTTTTTTTTTTCTCCATATATAGTTACGCGATATTGGTAATGTACCATTAACATTTACTGAACATACAAATCTTCTTAGAACACTTCATCCTAATGTTGATGGTCTTTTCATTGAAAATTTACTTTCATTAGCATCATTAATTAATTCAACAGATTTAGAAACTCTTAAATTAGTTCATTTTCCATTTGATCGTCTTAATCTTTCTGTTCGTTTAGCTGAATTAATTCCAAATATGAATCTTGCTGATTGTCTTCATCGTATTTATCCATATGAAATTCTTTATAAAAATTCAAAAGAATCAAAACAAACTATTCAACATATGTTTAATAAATTAGCTATTCAACAACAAGTAGAAAAATCATCCAAGAAAATTCTTAAGATCATTCGACAAGAAACAAAAGCCATTGTTGATTATGAAATGAATGGAAAAAAATATAAAATAACGGTATTGTATTTCTCAATTGACAAAATTTTTCATTGACTACTCAATTCAAAATAATTTTAAATAGTATTTAAAAATTGTTAACAATTGATTATTTTTAGGTACCAGCTCATGATACATCATTGCCTATTACGTCACCAACATTTATTAGTACTTCTTATCATGATCAACTTCTTTCTGATTTAATGCTAAGTCATGCTATTGGAGATATATGTTTAGTTGGTCCAAAAGGTTGTGGAAAAAGTTTAATTATTGATCACTTTGCTTCATTACTTAATTATCCAATTGAATACTTTGTACTTTATAAAGATTTATCAGCACGTGAATTATTACAACAACGTATCACTAATGAAAATGGTGATACTGTATGGCAAAATACTCCATTAGTACAAGCAGCTATTCATGGTCGATTACTTGTACTCGATGGTATACATCGTTTAAATAATGATACATTAGTTT